TTTAATGATAATTTTACCTTAACTTACTTTCAGCACACAAAGTTAAAAACAACATCTGTCATTGTTGCTGTAATTAACGTACCTATATATTTACAACTATACAAATATTCCTCTTGTACATTTTGCTTCATTTATTATGTCTCATTTTTATGTGTTTTTTTCGCACTTATTTTGTACTAATTATTTTTAAAAGAAACGATTCCTTACTGTTTTTCTACATGTTTGTTTTGATTTGATAATCAAACTTTAAATGTCGAATCATCTATAATAGACGAGTGAACGTCATTTTATTAAGCTCATATATTTTAAAATTTTTTTTAAATCTTGATAGTTCAATCACCGTACAACAGTGTAAATCTCAAATTATTTTAATCAAATTTATTTTTATATTGAGCTATTTTAACAGATCACAAATGGTCTTATTGTAGTATGTAGGTTAAATGTTACACCGACAAACGGTGATTTTTTTATAACATTTTTATTTTGGACAGTTATTTAAAATCATTTTTAATATTGGTATTAATAATATGTGTTATTCAATTTTAGTCTTTATACATTTTTATATAGTTTATAAAATGGTCATAGGTGCCTCTGTCTCTCTCAAATTGGTTACTAACAAAAATGTTCAGAAAAACATTGTATTTCAAAATTAAAATAATAATTAGAAAATTTATTTGTTTGTACAATCATCTTGCAATACTTAAGCATATAATAATTACCATTGAAAATTGCAATAATTATATTTAAGACTTATAAAAACAGGTGAGATAATCAGTTAGTAATTAATAATCTGTTCACCCTGTTAACCGGGTAGTTAATATTGTGGGTAAATATTATTATTATTAGTAATCATATAGTTACTATTCATATAATGTGAGATGTGAGTATTTGTTAAGGCTGTATGGTGCAGTACTATTAAAATGTTGTTTGGTTTTTTTTTGTTCGATAACTACTGGTGCAAATACGAATCGAATCTCGAAATTACTAGTGTAATTTTGGCTTTTGGTTTGGAGTTATGAATAATTCTGCAGAGTATTAAAAAAAATATGTTTTGAAAATTTAAAAGTAACAATCGACAAACAGTCTGAGTCTGTTAGTGCTTCCCATTTATATTCTAAACAAAAAAACATTGCTGTTTACTAGTATAAATTAACTTTTGTGGCTTTTAACATAAAATTGATGCAATTTTTTAACATTTTGAATCGCGCTAACGAGTGCCAGACACTCAAATAATATTCAGGTGTCGAGTGTATATTTTATAAGCTACTTCGCGGTTAAAATTTAGACAAATTAAATTATAACATTATTGATCGAAAAAGTTAATATTGTCGTACACATACGAACGAGTTGTTTACAATTTGTTTGTTTGAGTTGCGTTCAGTCGGGAAAACTTTAATTTGGGCGTACGGTAAGAGTCGTTTTAGAATCTTTTATAACATATGGTTTATGCGACGTTTGATTTGTATGAATGCAAACTACAATATTACACAAACCAAACATTGACCGCACTATGTGCAAAAATAATTTGTATTCACGCAAATACTTTTCTTTTTAATTTAAAAATGTCTTTCGCTAAACAAAATAAATTTTTAAAGTTTCTGTTTATTAATTCGTATGCTGTATATAATATGTATATACCTCTGTAATTATTTTTACATTTTAAAACTTAAAATGGATTTTGATATGATTTGTTTATAATAATACATAAAATCAAACTCATTTATGCTGATGTTTATGATCGGATTTCGAAAGTACCATTATGTGAAAACAATCTAAATTTAGGGCATGGTTTATAATATGATTTATATAACTTGTAAAATATTTATGCTAACTAACTGTATGAAACAAAACATTTCTACTGTAGTATTATTCAAAGTATTTCCGGGCAAGATGATGTTTTATGCTAAGCTTAATTATTTTTGATAGTCTATAGTGTTAGTGAATCAAAAGAATAACTGTGAATAGCTTTATGATATTATGTTCGTTGTGACATAACATTTTGCGCTGCGGACATCACTTTAAATTTAAACCTCCCCATTAGAGTGATAAATATACAACTTGAAACCATTTAGGATGCCAACTGGCCTATGATTAACGTTGTTCTATTATTTTATTATCATGTGGTACAATCTGTTTCCATGTAATATATTTGGTCTGCAGTGTAATATATTGAACCTTAAATATTTACCCAATACTCTTCCACTATTCAGTTTTATAATACTTGCCTAAACTATAATACATTTTTACATTTTTTGTCATTTTTTTCCGGTTGGTTATATATTTTTATAGCAACACTAATAAGTTATATATATGTAGGTACCTATAAAAACAATGYACTTATTTATCGTCAGTTTTATTTATATTGAAGGAATTCTTAAGTTTTTGTGTGTCACTTAGCTATGATTTAAAATAATATTTTATTAGATAAAACTTTCGTCTTTTTCAATAAATTTTCCGGTACTAAAAATTTGTTAATGTTTTATATATTATATGCTTATTAATATTTAAGAAATGTATACGTGATGATATTTTTATRTAAAAATATCTCAACTTTAATGGTTTTAAATTAAAAATATCCCACTAAAATATTTATTAAGACTAAAATTTTGTTGAATTTAAGATATATATAGGTACTTGATAAAATAGTTAATAGAAGTTTAAATCTATTTGAAATTTGGATCGTTTGTTTAAGAAACTTTAAACAATATAAATAACATTGTTTACAATTTTATAATAATTGTATTATTAAAGTAAAGTTTCTTGAATTTTTTGTTGATTTTTATTATTGTTTTTCTTTTTTATGATTTAACGGAAAATTAATTTTAAAGTTTCGTTAACAGTTTGATAAACATAAAAATAATTATAGTTATAATTTTATTCTTTTGTAATTATTAAAAGGAATTTGTTGGATATTTCATTTTTACCATTTATCCTTGTTCAATTTTCCCCTCGATATAAATCATTTTTTTCATCTTAAAATGAATTAAATAAATCTTGATTTCACATATTTAAAGCTCTTTCTTGTTTCTTTACATATTTTTTGAATTTGTAATTAATTTTTTATCTTAAGTATATACATTTTAAAGTTTTTTAAGTTTCTTATTGAAACAAGAAATCATTGAAATTTTATAATTTGATTAAGCTACGATTATATTATTCATATTATTTGACCAATGGTGAAAAATATAATCACAGATTTTATGAGTCACATATATAACCAGTTTGATCATAAAATGAAGACGTCACTACAAAATTTAACATTTTATTATATATTTAAATGATTTTTAGGGTACGTATAATAATTTTACATTTTTTTTATGCACATATTTATATTCGTTGAAATGTGCATCTTGACTTAGGAAGAATTAACCAAATTCTCCGATTATATTTTTTATACACTTGCAATAAGCAATAAGCAATAAGCAATAAGCAAAAAGCAATAATTATTGATTGTTGTTTGTTGTTAATTTTGAGTTCAGAAGAAGCTTGTTAATATTTATACCTAGTTTAGTGTGTGCGTAGAGGTCAAATGATTTAATGATAAATTTTGGATCAACCGTTTTTTGTTGTTTTGTGTAATTCTTATTCTATGTTAATGTGGGGATAAAATTAGACGTTTGTCGGATGTTATTCATTTATAATTAGTCTTTTGTGAATTGTGTGTTTGTAAACTATTAAATTGGAAATGTTCATTTATTAATGAATATCTTATGTGTATAGATTTAGTTTAGTTGGATACATTAACTTTAAAGCACCATTTTGTTTACAAATCGGTCAGATTACTTAAATTTGTCTGTTTTTTTTCAGTAGTGTTGATGGAAGTATACAATTGTTTTATCGTTTCGTCTTCTTGGTTTGAAATGAAGGTATTAATTAATGTTGGTTCATTAGAATCTTGGGAACAGCATCTTGTTTTGATTCAAAGCTAAATATAAAAGTGCGTTCAATTTATTTATTTATTTATTTTTATTTTATACATACCTACATATGAATACTATGCCCCACTGAGAGAACTCGTATAAGGACCGTTACATTAAAATTACAGTTAATTATATATGTAAAAAACAAGAAAAGTTGTAAAAATTTAGAAATTTTAAAAATAAAAATAGATAAAAATTTAATTTTACTGTTTTGACAAATTACTGTAATGAATTATAAAATTAATCGTCATTAGAGTCTAAAAGCCATTGCAAAGTTCTTCTCTTAAATAATTTATCTGGAGTGGTTATTATTTCGGATAGTAGTTTGTTACATAATTTGGTATCGATAACTTCAAAATGTCTGCTAGACGTGGTTTTTTAATTAAATAAGATTCAATTGTTAAAAAATTCTAAGGAAGCTGGAAGTTTTATTTTTAGAAGGAGATATTTGTACTATTATACGTGGTCCAATACTTTTAAAATGAGGCTGCTGTGTAATGTTTTTTAGTATTGAAAGTTGTCGATAATTTTATTCGAAAGTATACACGTATTTGGCATAGGTATGATTGGAATTATAAGGGTTGAGTTTCTACTTTAACCACCATATTGGTTAAGATTGTTTGATGTTTGTGCTTCTTAAATAACAAGATGGATTCGTTTAGGCACGAGTTTTTTTTATWGMATTTTTTTAGATTAGATAATATAAGTAAAATAATGAATTATAAACGGGTAAATTGTGTGTAACCTCCGAAGATTAAACAAATTCCTGCAATGCTTTAAAATAAAATAACCACAATTTTAAATAAATAAAAGTAAATGAATTGAACAATAATCTTATTCCAAATAGTTAATTGACATTCAATAGCTGATTTTAAAGAAATGTACAACTTGTAAAATAAATTGCTGGTAGTTTGAATKGTAGGTATTATATGCAGTTCAAGTTTCATGTTAAAAACAAATAAAGCGTAAATGTCAATAATCTGAAATGCACATTTATAGTACTTATCCTAAGCTCTTAAATTATTGAATGCGGTAACGACGATAACGCAGAGTGTAAATTAGTTGTGTTTTTATTTCCAGAGCTTTGACCGAAACAGATTTGGAGTTCATGGGCGTGAGGCTCATGCCTGGTTATAAAGATCCCTATTATAAACGGTAAATCAGTTTATTATTTTGCTTTGAAGAACGTTTTATATTTAATTATATTTTAATTGTCTTTTTTTATAGGCCAATTACTAAAGGAGAGATTGGGTGCTTCATGAGCCATTACAGAATTTGGGCAAAGGTAATATTGCTCTTCTAAACATTTATAGTTAAATGAAATAAAGTCATTATTGAGCGTGTTCCGTATATACGTATACTATGATAGACATAGTGATGGAACATTTAGTAATCATTATATAATAATTTGTTAGAGAATAGTTCGCTTATGAGGTGTAAAACCTTTAAAATCTTTCAATTGTTAATAGGATATTAATTTTTTTTTTTTGAGCGAAAATAAAGGATTCAAACATTTTTGGTACCTATAATATTTAGAAATTAAGCTCAATATATTGTATGGGTACGAAAATGTGACTTTAAAAGTATCGAATGGTATAATGGTATAACATTCTAAACTATAAATAAGGTTGGTTATAACATGAAAGAAATCATTGTTTCAGTGAGATTGTATTGTTTCTTGAATATATCGTTATATTGATCTACCTTCGAGTTCGGATTTTTAATATTAATATGATGCCGTCTTGAGAATTGCGCCAAGAAAACTTATCCTTTAGGTCCCTTCTTTTATTTCTGTATGCAAATTCAATATTATTATGGTGTTTTTTATGGAGTCTCGAATCAACTCGTGGTAAAATAAATATTAGTTACTACACACGATGTTTGTCGTAGGTTGGTGATAACGAAAATATTGTCGCCGCAGAGACTAAACAGAGCATAGCAGTCGTAAGTTTCTTTTCGATTTTTTTAACTGTCGTAAATCTATTATCTCGAATTGCGCTRTCGAAAACTAATGTCGTTCACAAGACGAATGAGAAAGACGTCCATTCGCGATGTATGGGTGTGCCTATTGGGCTGTTAAATAATGAAGTTAAAAAATTACTTAAAATGAAAATTTCAGGTATATATTCCTACGTATTTGGTGATAATTTCTCAGAATATTTTTTTTAGTAGTTTTATAGATAAAAATTGAATTTTGAATTAGTTTTTGATATGTTATAATGATGTATAAAGTTTTGATGAGTGGAGTAGTAGACCAATATTTTGTGAGGAAAAATATTATATTTTTAGATGTATATTAAATTAAAAATATACCTATACCAACTATCATTGAAAAAACTAAAATGTTTAAAAAAACGATAATAATAAAAAATAGTAAACCATATGTTTTGTAATTTATCTAAATTATGATCTTCTTCTTCWCCTTGAGCTTTTCGGTCCTTTAAGGACTTTCGCTGCCTATACTACTTTTTTCCAACTATCTCGATCTATGATATCCCTAGGCAAACTTGCTTAAGTTTAAATTATGATAAAAAAGTATTTTTATAAACGTTTACATTTTTCAAGGTATTAAGTTCTACATATTATACATATATCGTTATAATAATTTCTAGTATCTTCTGTATTATTGTATTTTGATGATTAAAACTAAATAATAAACAATATTATAGTACTTACTTATGTGATTTTGTATAACTTAAAAAAAAGTTGAGAAAGAGATTCATTATTTCATACATCCACTAAACAATTTATTATGTAAGATCAGTGAGCATAGAGTTCACACCGTTAAAAATCACCACTGTGCATAATCTTCTATTAGACATTTGTATTACTAAATATTATTGTTTATGTATGTACATTAATTATAGTTTATAGTATAGTTTATAGCTACAAAATGCAGAATCGTCCCCAGGGCCGGCCGAGCGGGACCCACGCTTTTATAGATACAATATAAAATTAAAAGCTTTAGAGAAATATTGGTAAATTATTTATAATACTTGATGTTATAATTCTTATTTAGATTTAATTCATATCAGTAAAAATAATGTGTTTAAAATTCATTTCAAGTACAGTGTTTTCTTGATATAATAATTGTTCTTCTTCGTTGCTTGACTTCTTTCATGTGATATGCTTGAGAGGTTTGACGTTTATTATTGCTGTATATTTTTGTTAAATCGATTAAATTTAGGGAGATTAAACCATTGATATTTAACGTCATTCCAATCTTCACTAGTTTTACAAATTTAGTCCAATATCACGGAGAGAGAAACTATGGTGTTCACTCGAATAGAAGCTTCTGAGTGATAAAGAACCTTACATTTAAACACGAGAGAAAAATTTGTGWTTTTATGATGATGAGGTCAAARATTGTATCAGTTGTTTTGGCTTCAAGATTTTTATACAATATCAAACCCGATAAGCTTAATATCAATGGGTTAAATCTAACGTCCTAACCTAACCAGTAGCGCAGTTTATTTAAATATTCTTTTTCTAATTGTGCTATTGTAAAGTACTCTGATCACATCAAAGGTGCCAATCACACAAATCCCTATGTTCTTGTACTGCAACCTCAATGTAAGCAATGTGTGTGTACTATTAGGTGTTAAAAAACTTCGAATTGGTTATGTTAACSATATATTTATTTAACTTAACCTTTTGTTATTCAAGAAGCATGTTATATATTACAATGTAATACAATGTATACATATATGTATATATATATATATATATTTATAAACTCTTCTTCTTTTTTAGTATTTATTTACATAGTACAACTTTAATTATTTTAACGCAAGGACTTGAATACACTTAAAATGTTTTAAAGTTAAGAACATTATTTTTATTTCATACTAATTGTACTTTAAGCAACAATGCATTAAATAAAATGTGTTTTCAGTAATTTAATTTAAAATTAAAAAGTTGAATTTGAGAGGGGTTTAGGGGATGTGGAGGCTATGCCTCCAACGGGTCTTTGTATGAAATTTAGCATCTCTATAGGCTCGCGACTGGTYTCTTTGTCTTTGCTTCGGGCCACAAATCCTAAGGAAATTCCTGGGTTTGTAACATCTAGCTTTATGTTAATGAAAACAATAAGATTAATAATAATGAAATTAGTTTAATGGACTTTCCCCTATACGTCAATAGGTATTAACTTGTAAAATCTTATTTTATGTTTATGAAGAAAAATAATTTAGCAATATATATATATATATTATATTTATATGCGTGGTGGCTTACTAAGCCTACTCACCCCATTTTATTTTTTAATAATGTATTTATACTTAATCTGACCTCAATAATTTTGTAGTACACTTAAAGGCGATG